GCAAGTAAGACGCGACGTCTTTAAAGTTTAAAATATTAAAACTACTTTCCGTACGCGCGGATTTGAGAATTTAAAACTATTTAATTTTTAATAAATTTATACTTCTATTATATTATTATCTACAAACTGAAATACAATTCTACGCAAGGAGCCCAAAATGGGCGAAGTTCTTTTTTCGTCGAAACTTAACACTGAGAAAAGGCAGGTACGTGTAAAAAAATGAAGCGCATTATATTATCGAGTAATCTCAGTGTATACTCACTTATTTATGCCATTGTTTATACACGCTTTAATGTTACATCTCGGATGTAGATCATTCACTTCATCAATTCTAGATGACAACGGCAAAGGCAAATGTGCTATGTCATATGTATAGCAAAAAAAAAAAAGAAATTTATCTCTTTATATATTGAAACGTTTTACCACCTGATTATGAGATCATGCGCAAACTACAAGAAAGCATACGAGAACGAGTCGCTATTATTGATAGAACCATCCCTCGACTAACACGGGAATGTAGAGGAAGGATAAACTCTCGCCAAAATCTATCTCCACCGACAACATAATCCTCGAAAATTTCTATAAAAGTACAAATTTTTATTGGAAGCGTATTATCTATTTGAAGCAACAGGAAGGACAGGCAATTTTGGATAAACTTAACGGTACTTCGTGCAAGCACACGCATTCAGTTTCGTTTATTTGGTGATAATCGAAATTGACGATTGTCGCTGCGGGGAACCGCGTTCTGCGTCGGATTGTTTTTCTCGATCGGTTCCGGGGTCGTGGGCTGCTTGGCGATCCACTCAAGGGCACGCTGAATCGCCGGCGGGATCGGTGGCGGGGTGGGGATGTGGCTGCCGGATACCTGGGTGCCGAATTCATCGGCGGTCCAGCTCATGGCGATGGGAGTACCGTCCGGCGCGTTGTACTGCACGGAGCCCTGAATGAGTTGCGTCTCGTCGGAAGTGCCGGCATACTTGCGGCTGCCACTCTCTCGTTGAAGTATGCCGCCCTCAGTCTCGTAAGAGAATGAATAATGACCGCGGGTGTCACCGAGATCATGTGAGTAGCTCACGATCTTTTTCGGTTCCTGGAAGTATTGGCCGTGAACGAGCCCGAAAAGGGCCGCTACCAACTGAAATGAAGAAATGGAATTATTATCTGTTTTTCTTATACTAGTTACTTCTGAGAGATCGTTTACAAGAATTTACATTAACCCTTAATATATTCGATAATTTTCCTCTTCTACACAATGCATCGTTCGTATCTGTGCTAATTTTTGTCACTTTTCCAGAAATTACTAAGATACAAAAATTATTAAGTATTCTTACATATACTATAACATTTTTTAAAAATATTTGTAAGATTGGGATTAAAAAAAAAGGATAATCATTATTTAGTGCGCCGGGTGCGCCTAGTATTTCAAAGGAAAGAAATATGCAAGAATGCCCCAATCGTGTGTTACAATAAGAATTAAAAGTAATTATTTATATCAAAAATTACCCGGTTTATATTATATTAAAAATATATTTTAGTTTAGTCCTAATACAAAATTAAAGATAATTTTAATTTCTATTTTTAAAATCGTAAGTATATCTTTGCGAATGTTTAAATTGCAGCATTAATTACTTTTGTTAAAATTTATAATGTCTGAAGACTAGCTCGTAAAATAAGAGATTAATTATGCATTCAATGGCTTTTTGCGGTTTCTTGCACGGTGATTTTATTTCTTAAATCATTTATTGTAAAAATAGAACAAATTTTTTTTCAAAATTTTTTTTAATTTGCATCAATTTATATCCGCCCCGTTCTATTAGACTCACGATATTTTAAAACTAAGATTCGCACAATTCAAAAACTATGAAGCTTATCCGCGAAAATGATGATTCTATTTGATTAATGATTCCTCGGATATGCTATAAATATTATCGCTGAGTTAATTACATCATCCTTGTAAATGAATAACGGACATGGTGTTGTTTTCAGGATGAGGTGATACCGGGCGTCCTTCTCAGCAAAGGACTCGCGCTCGTCACTGTCGAGTGCTAAACACACTAACTTTCCGTGATGAGCATTTACGATTACATTAAATTCACTTTTATGTAGACTTTTCTTGAAAACGTAAAAGCTGCATAAAATAATTGATAAACATGGATTGCGTTATTTTGTGAATATTTTAAATTCGCACATGGATTAATCATAATCAAAATGATTTCATTCGAGCTAAACGAAAAATCAGCGCGACTAAGAAAGATCGGGACGTGCTGTGTCCTCATCTCGAGGAGATACTTGCGGTGTACGGGAGTATGGAGTATCAATGAGCGTCTACACACAAAGTGCTTTAATCCTCGTGATGTTTGTAAAGCCATCGAAGATACCTTTCCCCGCGAAAGGTCAGGCTAAGATGAATGTATTGGTAGGTAGGTCACGATTGCGATCGTAAGGGGAACAAGAGGGTACCTTGTGTGCTAATGATGTTGTATTACGTTACCCACGATCGAACGTAGCTTTTTCCCATAGTCTTCGATTAACATCCGGTGACCGAGACCGATTCGTTTTGTGCCGGTTTAGGTGCGTTCCCGTCATACAACTACCATTCACTGTACAACGTGAACAACTGCGTTCAATGTAAATGAATACATTCTCTTGACATGATGACTCATAATCTCATAATGTATTAGTATTATTAATAATATAATAATTATTATTAATATTAGTAATGTTAT